AATAAAGTTCTTACCTTGCAAAGAGGACAGCAGTGAATGAAGCAAGAATATACTCCACGGTATCATTAAATCGAGCTTTCCCACAATGTTCATTTCAGTATAATGTAGTAGTAGGAAATTTATCTAAATTAATGGCTTTGATTACGATGGCATCTTAGAACTATGTATTTCTACAGTGTGCTTAAATCCTTTGAAAGTTAGATAGTTGGATGCATTGTTTAGAATAATGCAATGCAAAAAAGGAAAAGAAAAGGAGACACCAAGCGTGGTGGCTACACACAGCTTCAGGAACTTTGCAAGCGTAGTGTACAACTTTCTGGCTGCACGTCTCTCATTAGTAATGCATGGTAACTCCTCAGCAGAGTCTGTATTAGTTACACTTTCACTGGACCTGCAAGTATTATTCCTCTGTTGAATTGAATCGGCTCTTTATAACATAGCAGACAATGACATGGAAATGTTGCCATGTCATGATGGTTTGAGAGTTTCTTCAGTCGTCACACACCTTTGTGTGCTTTGAGGCTTGCGCTGAGTGCTGCCCTTTACTGCTTGTTACAGTGAAATACTTTAGCAAGAACCTGCAATTATGCTATTGTATAAGTTATAAGCAGGTTATTTTAGAGATTAACATATTAATGTTCCTCATCTGTTCTAAAAGGAGAGACATGAACTTCCATTAAATAATACACCTGACTTTTAAGAATGTTTTAGATACATCTTTGTGCTCATATCACAAAGCAAAGCATGCCAGAATATAATTATATTTCATTTTTAATAAAACACACTATGAAATTTTCTTATTAACAAAAATAAAAGTCAAAAGGGACAATGGGGTTTGATTCTAATTTTCATTAAAATATAAAAATAGAATTTCACCAAAAATTAAAAAATACCATATTTAAAATAGAAAAATCTTATCTGCTTTACCACAACATTAATAGTGCAGTTTTAAAGACACATATAATGCGAATTGAAACTGCTACTACTAACTTTATTTTGCAAAGCCTATATTTTTCCTAACCTTCCATTCTTCCTAGGATGTGTTTTGTGGGATCCCATGAGCATGCTACAGGGGGTGGGTTTGGACCAAAATAAAATTCTGAAGTTGATGGCCTCTCTCAGGTAAAAAGTTCTCCCATCATTTCTTCTAGCCCTTTCTCTTCCCCACTCCTCAAGAGAAGGCAAAGGAAAACACACAGCCTCTCCAGCCACAGGCAAAGACAAATCCCTGTGTCCACACAGCAGCCAAGAGTACTCGTGCAAGTTTGGGATCACTGGTGGCCCAAGGACACCTATTGCAAATTGACATATGCTATGACACTACACTGTGTTTGGAGTATTTCTTAGGAACTAATTTTATTACTGTTGGATCTGAGAAGCTGGCATTCACACAATTCACATTTCAAAAGTTTTTTTTCTTTTTTTCTTTTTTTTTTTTCTGACAAGAGCCAGGATGGTCCCATGGACTGAATGCTTATCTGCAGCTGAAGTGCATCTTCCAGCTTAGTTTCAGCTGCTCCACATGGTCCAAAACCACTCCAGATTGCAAACCAAAGCAAAAAAGTGAGCTCCTGATCCAAATTAACACACTCATGTAGTCATACTAAAAGATTGTGACCACTTATGTGGGCACCTATCCTGTAGGAGGTGGCAGAGGCTCATCAATATTTCACCCTCTCGTAAATCTAGAGAATGATGCCTGGAGGTTGCTGTCAAGCTGAGAAGAACCCAGGCATTAGAGCTTCCAAATTCCATTACCAGTCTCCAAGTTATCTTACTTTCAAACTAAATCTGGTTTAGAAACTGTTTCAAACTCTTCTAAGAAATCTGATCTGGGATTCTTCGCTTCCTCAAGACCACATTTTCACACCACGCTTCATAGGCAGCTTCACAAATAAATCTTTCCATTAACATGAATTAATACCTGTGGTTTAACGGAAACTATCAAAAATAGCCCCTTTTTTTTTTTACAATTTTTCTATAACATAGTTGAAGGAATATTTGGTGCATGTTAGTATTTCACAGTTGCTTAACATCTAATATTTAAAAAGTAGGCCAAGCCTCATCAGCTGCAAAGGGACTTTGTAAGAGAGCAATAGGCTTCATTAGCTCTGGGTATCTCTGCTCAAGGCAGGGTAGGATATAGCACAGTACCAAGCACATGAAGGACATTAGCTAATAAGGAAAAAGAATTATTCAGCCAAGTACACTGAACAGCAACTCATGGGACTATATTAAGAAAGAGAGGGGGAAAAAAGAATTGAATTGTATCAAGGTAACGGCACATGTTACCTACACAGGTAGCAGAATACTCACTTGAAACTTCTGAAAACTTTGAAGAGAAAAAATACATTAGATAGTAATCACTTTGGTAAGAAAATAAACACAGTACAGAACACATGTTGGCTCACACTTCAAAAATGCTAGTGTTACATTTTTAAGTTACAGGTTTTTCTTTAAAAATGAGATTTAAATTTTTAATGTTAACACATTTGTATATTATAGACAAAAAAAAATTATTTTCCCCAAATTTTCCAACACAACATTTAAGAGGACTTAATTTTATATACAGGTTACAGAGTTATCAGCATTGTGAACGATAAGTGAAAAAATAACAGGCTTCAGAGCCACAGGTACAAGCTTGCCCTGGTTTGGAATTAGCGCTCACACTCCAGACTTTGCTGAACTGATATTTTCAACTAAGAATTCAAGGGAGGCCACATTTTGATGAGCGTGTCTGATTTTCCTAAGGATGAATACCAGTGAAACTAATGAAAGAGCTGGACAATATGAAGTTAGAGACATCTCTTCTATTCCAAGAACCTCGCTAGGGGCTTGCAGATCAGGCTTGCAGATCAAACTGTTACTATTTGGGGAAGCGTGTCTCTGGCCAGAGCAGATGCTCAATGACAAGAGCTGGATTGCCATCCCTGCAGAATCAGGACATCAGGAAAGGAAATATTTTTATGACCAGGTTTTCTCCTTACATCTTCAAACTTCACGGTAGTTACGCTTCCCCGATGAAGTTAAGCCCTCTAGTGGGTGATCAGTAAGTAACTATTTAGAATAAAAATCTTCAGCCACCCAGGCAGAAACCAGCCTAATTCCACAAACATTTCTCATTTAGAAAACAAGTCTGTGGGGATGACATCACTCCACAGGACTAACAGAGTATTTTCATAGGCTCAGAGTTCAGTTCAGAAAGCTTTTTTATTATGCTAAGAGCCTTTTGGTTGAAGAAATGACATGCAGATATCATCTCTGGATATATTAGTAGCAATAGAAGTTTTATTTTCAGCCTTTCCACAAAAGAGCAGCAAAACAAAAATCCCCAATTGTTACAAGCTGTTCTCTGGGCAGAAAAATGGATAAATCAGATTTTCCCATAACTGTGAAATCCACCCCTAAGGTTACTGGCATTAGGTATTGCATCTCCCCCTGCCTCTCTAACTTTCACACTACAGTAACTTTGTGTCCGCCCTTTTTCCCTGCACCGGACTACTCTAAGAGCAAGGGAAAAATCAGTTCTGGACAAGCCACAGCACAAGGAACGTTATGTGCCAATTGGCAGGCTACTACACATTTCCTTAGCAATGAGCAAGCCTTTGCTTTTCAGTCCCCACACGAGCCAAACAACTAAAAGGATTATTTTTCCTCAGCTGAAGCTAATTAGATTCTATCAAGATGCCAGTTGTCACAAAACTCATAGGAATTCAAGCAATCAGATTTGAAGTTAGCCCTGCATAGCATCTTTTCCTTAGAAAGCCAGGCTAGGAGGCAGAACATCACAGCTTTCAGCAGCCCAAGAGCTAGAATACTTTGTGAGCAACTCTGCGACAAAGCAGAAACTCCGAGGAGTTTCTAGACGAGACATGGGTCAGATCTAACGGTGCACAAAGGGAGACTGAGGAAAGAAAACCATGCATCTTGGCGAAGAGACAGCAAGTGCCTGGAGCAGAATATAATTAATTTAGTGTAAGACAAAAAATCCTGGTATGTAAACTGGTGATAGAATATACAAGTCCCCTCCACTTCAATGGGAGTTTTAGGGGTTTGAATAAGTGTTCTCCTTCTATTCAGGTCATGTAATGCAGTATTTTGTGGCAGAGGCTGACAGCTAAAATGGGAGATGGATGGAGAATTCCTTTTCAGGAGGAATTTGTTCAAGTTACATGTTTAACTCTTAAGGAACTACACTTCTGTGAAGATGCCTGAAATGCCTTTCTACAGAAAAAGCACAGAGCACAACAAATATTAACATTTATAAAAAGCCACAAGCACCTACTTTCCTGAACTAGAGCAAAAGGGCAAAATTTTATTATTCTTTCCAATTCCCCAGCTCAACTCACAGAGAAAGGTGTTTTACCTTTGTGTTGACTGAGTACACTGAAATGACCCACCATTAAACAGCTGAGAGAAGAAATACCACATTAATAGAAAGCCCAGCGGAAGTCTCAAGTATCAAAGTGTTCCTGTAACAATCTCAGTATGGTGTGCAACGATAGACACAAAAAAAAAAAACAAAACCAAGCTTAGAGAGCAATACAGCCGAGGCCATCAGTCGCTCAGTCTCCAAAGTCGCTTCCAGCTCCTCTCCAAACCATTTTTCAAACATAGGAAACGAACAGCCCAGGGCTGTGCCCATGCCTGTTGGGCCAGCTCATATCCAAGGACTCACTCAGTTACTTGCAACTCTTCCAAAGCACAGAATTAGCCTTTCCAACAGCCTTTTGTCCCATGTCTTGCTCAGAACTTTATTCTTCTTTTTTGCCCCCGCGAGATCACTTCCAGAACAAAAATCTTCAGTTTCAATGGTCAAGAAACTGGAACTTCTCCAACATTCCGTGTTTGATACACACACCCCTGAGCTAGGTCCTTAAAAATTACTGTTATATTTTAAACTCCAGGTTTTTCCCTCTTACAACCCTAAGGCCTTCAAATTGCCTCACCTAGCTCATGACATAAGCAACTGTCTGGCTTCTAAAGGGATTTTGCTAGGTTTATTATATCATTTAATGTTGTTCTCCAGGTCTATATCCCTCTGTGCTTGTATTGCATGAACACGTGCTTGAAGGATGAATCATTTAGACTCAATCTTATTTATAACAGAAAATCCTTTTTACATTTTACATTTACAATATACTGTTTTGAGACAGAATATATGGGGCTATTTAAAAAGAAAAAACAAACTTCATACATTTAGACAAACTAATCCAGAAAACTCCGCCTCTGTATTATCTGGTATGGCAAGAGTTCAATAAACCTCCTTCCCCTGCCCCGAAAATTACTTTGGTTTTGACAATGTAAACTTTAAATACAAACTTCATAACAGGCTGCCTGAATGCCCACTTTAGCACCATGTTGAGGGAGGTACCCTCGAGGGGGTACATCACTTGCCACTAAGCAAGCACAATCAAAAGCAGTTCATGCAGAGGGACAATACTCATTATTCCATAGTGGTGTTTGGAACGCCACTCTCAGTGTGGTACTTCAGGTGAACACACAAGGAAAACAGAAGCCCTTTGCAAGAACACGAATTGCCAGCACTGAAATGTATGCGGAAAGACGGCTAATATGCTGCATTACTCTAGAGCAGCATACTAAAGAAAGTCACATAACACGATATAGAACTTATCAGCTAGGAATCGGATACACATCCTCATGCATTATGGACTGCCTGTAACCAGGCTGAGAGACATTTTCACCGGGGAAGAACACGGGATATTCACGTCGGTTCTTAACACCATGAAGAGGGGCCATCCAGGTACTGGAAAAGGTTCATGTTTGTTTAGATTTACCAGAAAGGCAAAAGACTGAACTCTGCTTTAATGAACTGCTACACTGTACTCACAAAAAAAAAACCACCCAGGATGTAAGCCTTTTGTATGTTCTGATAAACACATTCATCAACAGGAGAAAGGTCTTCCTTATTCACAAGGCCCTGTCTAGACTGACTTACTGCAAAGGGATAAGAGAGAACCTGCCAACAGCTCTTCAATTTTACTTTAATACCGATCAATTTGTCTATCAATCCTACGTTAACACACAGTGAAAAAGCTATTTACCCACACAGAAAAATGCAATTTAGAAACATGAAATTTATCAAATTTTCTGTATGTTTATTGACTGTCACATGACTGTAGAACAATTTTAACGGTAAGACTTCTGGTAGCGTGCACGAGCACCAGGTCCTCCAAATTTCTTGGATTCACAACGACGAGGATCTGCAACCAGCAGCGTCCTATCATACTGGATTAGAATATCCTTGATCTCTTTCTTGGAAGCTTCATCGACATCTGTTTTAAAAAAAATAAACAACTTCAGTTTAAGTTTCACATGGAACAAAGCTGTATTAACATTTTTTGCACCAAAACTACCAGAAGCCAACCATTTATTTCCACTTAAGGCTAATAAAACAAATTAAAACAACTTACATTTTTGATAGTAAGCCACCAATGCTTTGGAAATAGCTTGACGGATAGCTGTTAAAAAAGGGTAACGGATCAGTAAAGATTGCAAAGGTATTTAAAACTTAAACACAAAGTGCCAGTTATCTCAGAAACTTCCTGTCTTGTTTTTTGACAAATTGTCCTTTCCCTCCTTAATCTGCCCTCCCACATACTCCACATGACCTTTCCTTTGGCAGCTCTGGAGAAATCTGTGCCAAGAGGCCACCCACAGTTCATTTACTGATTTGACAAGTGCCAGCTAGCCAAAGAACTGTACAAGGGCAATCTCCATCACCTTCTCTCCTGAGAACTAACACAGGTTCATCTTCTGCCTACAAGCAGTCAATTTTCAAAATCCTTAGAAACACAGTTCTCTGAAATGTCTGTACTTTTCTACAAGGATAAAATTATCAAAAGACTAAGGAGGCAAAAGGGACAAAAGGTCGGTATGAGCAGTTGTTCTAGCATGCCCCAATGAAACAAGCCTGTAGCATAGTAACACAGTAATCAGAACTCAAACTGGGAATATGGGAGTAACTGTAAAGATGTTGTTAGGCTGTTATCTGCCAGAACATCAAGATCAGCATTTTGGCAAAAATCTGAATTGTCTGGAAAATGCAATTAACTTTGAGACTGAAACATGTCACTGCTCTTCATACAGCTTCAGCTCCACTTCACTAACCTATACCCAAACTGAAGCAGCAGAACAAATCTATCATTTGCCAAGAGCAACTCTATCAACAGTTAATGCAATTATGTTCTCAATCTCCTCTGCAAGGGAAAACCTGCCTGGCTGTTCTGGTGTTTTGCTGCTAGCTGGGTTCAAAACTGCAACAGTCAGCAGGTCAGCTGAAGGATGCTGCCGAACCTGTCAATTAACAACTAAAGGTATAATTTCTAATAATAAATCCCCTTTTCCCCTCCCAAAATCTTTGTGCTCAGCTGCACCCGAACTGTGCTGTCACACTGCAAGACACAAAGATCGTTTCCTCACATTTCCCTAAAATTTCATCAATCTACTTCATTCATCTTATCCTAAATGTTACAGCTTTGCACATAAAATACAACCAGTAAGCCTTTACGAAAAACTACATTTGTGCAGCAGAAAGACAACATTGGGATGCACAAGTTACTATTCTAACCTCAAGCCTCTTAAATATGTGGCTTGACTTGTTGTAGCCCACACTGAAGTTAACACACAAAATCATACCGTAGATTTGTGCTACATGGCCACCACCCTTTACACGGACTCTGATGTCAACACCAGCAAACCGTTCCTTTCCCAAGAGGAGGACAGGTTCAAGCAGCTAGGAAACAAAACAGAGGAAGAAAATTCATTTGTGATCAGAAATAACAAGGATTAGAGCTTGTCATAGGTTTAGTAGATGTGAAGTTATTGAATGTTCTGAAAAATGGACCCTTGATTTTACAAGCACACACTCCAATTAACTACAAATCTTGCAGTGTTCTTTGCCATCTACCAGTAAGGTTATACAATAAACTTACTGAAGTCTTGATTTCATTTTTTTTTAAGTTTCAGAAATCTTAACAGTTAAGCATATGCACACAGGAATTAAGAGCAAGGGAAGAGTTTAAGTAGAATGTCCTTATTAAAATTGTGTATCTGAAGTAAACTGTGGGTGGTTTTCTCCACTATTACACTTCACATTTATCTAGTCAGTTTTAGATTCTCTCAGCAGTGTTCGAACAGCTAGTAAGTCCTAAACAATCTTATAAAAAAGAGGGTTTTAAGTCACCCATTTCAATGTAAAATAAGAGGTAAAGTAATGAAAATGCTTCACGTAATTACATTAACATACATTAATCCAGTTAAGCAAAAAGCCCTCACTTCCCAACAAGGCAATCACAGAAGGACAGTATTCTGCATTTTCATAATGTCTGCATTTCAGGTAATCAGCAACACACAACCAAAAATTTAGTACTGTCAATAAGGCAATTAACTCTTCTCCATCCCCAATTGTGCGTGTCAAGGTACGGATGCTTACTTTATACTGCAGAGTTCTGGGCTCAATCATTTCTAGAGGTCTTCCATTCACTTTAATGAGGCCATTTCCTCTCTTGCAGTGGGCAACAGCAGTTGCTGTTTTCTAAAAATCCAAATGTGTATTAGTATGGCATTTCATTTTTGCACTAGCAGTGTGAAGTTAATTTCTATTTAATTTAAACAATCTAAAAATCTTAGTTTTATGCCCAAGATTAGCATCTCATGCTAAACAAAACAATACCACTCCTTACATTGCCAGGTATTGACTCACAGTATTAAAGCATTATATCAGTAAAATCATATTCAGTTTATAGTTACAAACGCTATAGGTGGAAAATTTAATTATAAGTGAGGAAAAGATACCCTATCCATTCTGTAACACTGTATTTTTGAGGCTCATTTCCTCACATGAGCTTGTTACCTAGAATTATCTGAGCCCCTGGATTCCGGCAGTGTGAACTTTATATTCCCACCACCACCTCCTAACATGGCTGTCCAACACCGGCTATGAGCCAGGCCCCTACGGCCTGGGGACGACACAGGCATCGGCTCCCGGGTACGGGGCGGGAGGAGAGTGCACAGCTCCAACCCAGAGCTTCCGGGCCTACTCCCTCAAAGAGCAAATCTTTCCCC